TTTCCCTCCCTCCCTCGCTCACTAGGCACGTTTGAGTGGATCGAGGGTGGCATGGAGAAAGAAGGAAAAAGTGGAGGGGGGGTGGGGGTTCGCCCAGAGGCGGGCATTACCAGACCTTGCCCATCGAGATCTGTTGTTAAGACATCATGAAGTTTCCTACTTCCCCTCTGTGGAGTGACCTTGCTGTGTGGTCCCAAACCACACAACAAAAAAAAAGATGTCAAGACCTTTGGCCTGATTTAACACTTCACTATTTGATTTATCATTTTTTATTAAAAGGACCAATATCACACAAAATGGGAATTATCGCATGGGAATTATCCTTGCTTTACAGAAAATAGAGTTTGATATAGTATGCAAACATAAACACAAAAGGTTTTAAGATGAACTGGGAGTCCATATATGGAAACTAAGCTTCAAAAGCTTCAGTCTTGAAGTTATTTTTTTGTGAAAAATAGTGTCTGCAAGGTGACACCAAGATGAAGAATCCCAGCAACTGGACCTTTTTCGCAACTGTCAAAAGGATTGGAATCTCCAAAAGTAGCCGAAACAGGGTTATAAGTATGAGCACTCACATTTTCAGCTCCTGAATGAGGTGATGAAGCACCATACTATTTCCACTTTTCTAAATCGAAATTAGCCTACTGAAAGTCACCACTTGTGAGCCGCAAACCATATTGTTTTGTTCCTGAAGACAATCTGAACTTTTGCTATTTATTTTTATTTTATTTTTTGTCATATGAACCCTAGGACCATAAGAAATGTTGGAATTTAATTAGAGATGGCAACAGTCCGATACCAGGTATCATTATTGGGCCAGCATCTACTCACTCACTGAAGTATCTCAAACTCACATTGGGTTGTTAGCTGTACATTTCTCCCTGTGGGGATGTGTTTGAGTAGTTTGAGCATGATAGCTTACTATTAGATGCTCATCTTAATTAAATCAAGTTTATTATCACATCACATTTACACAGGTGCGTAGCCCCCTTTTAGTTCTTAAATATACAAAAAAAAAATATATATATATATATGTGTATATATATGTATATATATATACATATATATATATATATATATATATATATATATATGTGTGTATATATACATATATATATATATATATATATATATATATATATATAAAAGAAACCAAAAAACAATATATATATATATATATATCATTTATATACACACACATATACGTACACACACACACACACACACACACAGACACACACATACACATACACACAATCTATATATATATATATATATATATATATATATATATATATGTATTGCTGCTGTCAGAAGAAAACCCTGTATCTCCATTTTTGTTGTTGTTGTTTTTCAGTTTTTAACAATTTGACCTTTTGCCTGTTGACCTTTACATTGTCTGTAAATTTCATGATGATTGGCCCAAAATGACTTGGAAAAAAGTCTGGTTCCATTAACTTACATTAAAAGTAAAGTAGGTTTTTTCCTTTTCCTGTAAAGTTATCATTTTGGAGATACAAGGTTTTTTACCAACAACAGCGATATATATATCGCTGTTGTCGGAACAAAAACCTCATATCTCCAAAATGATAACTTTACAAGAGGACGAAAAAACACACTGTACTCTTAAAGTACAGTGATAAAGATAAAGAGAGGTTGAAAATGGTCATGGAAAAATGTATTATGACTGTTTCAGTGTCACAAGTTGACCTCAGGAAAAAAATATTAAATACAAGAATGATGTATGATGCACCTTATGAGTGAAGTTTCAATTAAAAGTTGTTAATTTTATTTATAGGTATTGGCAGATATTCATATTCAGGGTTTCAATATCGTTACTGGAAAAGAAAAGCTGTGCTGTGCCATCTCTAATTCTAATGTAACCACATACTGATGCATGGTTCTCTGTGTGTTTACCCAACCTTATGCCCAACAGGTGTGGCATAATCAGATGATTTTAGATCTCAGCGGAAAAAACCTAGATGTGCAATTAAGAGGATCACTGTTTACTGACAATGAAAAGCTTTAAACAGTCACGGCTGAGTGACTGTAAATGATCACACAAGCAGAATTATTCCCAGCAGATCTCTAATAGACTAACAGCAACAAACCGCTGAGATTTAACAGAAGGAAAGAACACTCTCGATTCTTTTTATCATAATCAGCTTAATTCCACTTCATAATCTCTCACATGCACACAGGCATAACAACTGAGCACCAACACTCTGTCTCATAGTACACGAGCACACACACACACACACACACACACACACACACACACACACACACACACACACACACATACATACACACACACACACATACACACATATACACACACACACACACATACACATACACACACACTCTCCCAGCTAGTTCCCAATTCCTCATTATTTAGAGAAGTAAATAGCAGAAGAAGTAGTTCTCCTGTCCTTCGGTATTTTCTGCATTTGGCAGTTGGATAAGGTGTGTCATGGGCTGTGTATGTGCCCCTCTTAAATAACACCACCACAAGACAGTTTAGTGGAAACTGCTGTTCCCATGTCTGTGTATGATTAATCCTCAAGGAAAAACATCACATTTTTAAAAAGACTTTTAATCTTGTCTGTATATGAACGATAAACGAAACCTGAGTGAGCAGTACGATGTAAGTAGTAACGGTGCTGGACACGGGAGAACAGCACATAAAGCCAGCGAGAACAGGAGCACTGGCCTAGGAAGAGCAGGTTCTTCTACAATAACTAGAGCCTTCAGGGCTATTCATTAAGCCTGTAACAGTATGCTTAGATATGTCATGTGTAAGGTTGCAGCTCACAACTACTGCTGTAATGACTGATCTATCTACTATACTCCATTAAGTGAACAATCACACCATTACGCCTTATTCTATATATCTCTTCCTGCTGATGCCATCATACAAAGTACAATTAGTGCAAAAAGTGATTTCTTAAAAAGCCCATATCAGGGAAAACTGAAGTGTGTGATGTAGTTTGTTAACACTGTTACAGTTTCAAAACACATCCATTTAACCCCCAGTCCATACAGTCCATATCTGAAAACTAAGCTGCAAAAACGTCCCATTTTCAATTCATTCTTTTTATAAGATCACAAAAACCAACATTTACATATGCACAGCTATTCAGCCTACAGCAAATTTAGCCCTGCCCATTTACACTGAAGTTATAAGAAGTGTTTCAACCCAGACTGTTTTTCAAATTAGGCACAATACAGGGCAATCAGAACAAAGCATATTTACATATATCAGTAACAAAAACAGCCTGCTTCATTCCAATGGATAAAGAGTGTTTGGAATTGTTTTTAGCAGTAAAAGTAAAAAACACATAACTGTCATAAACAGACCTTTAAAAAAAATAGAAAAATGTAGCGTATTCCGTCTGTAATGGTGCAACCAAAGAAAAGGAAAAAGCCATATCGCTCCCTAAGCTTCCTGCAGTGCATCACTGCAATCTGTCAGAATAAATGTGTGTATCAGGTGAAATCTGCGCTCCTCTGCATGTGTTCAAATTTGACATGCTGCTCTCTGATTTTTTTACTTCAATAAAAACACCAGTTAGACATGGCCGCTTAGGTTTAAGAGAGTTATTGTCAGTTTCTCTGTTGTGTTGAATTCAAACTACAATTCTTAGTGACATTATTCCTATAACAAATTCAATGCAAACTATTCAAAGACAGTAATGGACTTATTTGGTTTCTCCATTTTGCTGAAAATACTTTTGGTGAGCAAAGATTCTCTCATCTTAGATGCCATGTTAGAGTTAGAGCATAGTGACTTTTGTTTCCATGGCTACAGCACTAATGCATTTTTATTTCCGGTCACCACAGCCTTTCCTCCAACTGTTGATGAACAACGTCCCTACTATAGCACCATAGATCTTTATAGTGCCCTTTAGTTTTTAAGTAAATGATGTATCAACTTTATTTCAATAAGCAATGTCTAGCTATGTTTCCATCTACTTTCTGAGCTAATTTGTTCTCATCATTCCCACTTTTGGCGATAAAAATGAATTATGTAATGATGTAATTTCCTGCAAAATGCTGTTTGTATGTATGTTGACACTTGTGGACCTTTGAATTCCATGACTTTCCCATAATCCACTGAAAAGCTAAAATGCGGCAGCATTCCTTTTGAAAACACTCTCATCTCCTCCTTGGTGCAGGTATGCCTGTCCGCCATGCTGTTTGTTTGTGTTTAATGTAAGATGTCATGACACTGAATTTATGAGAAAATTATTTCTTTTTATTTCTTATTTGCATTTATGAGCTGTTTTCCTGATATGTTTAATCTGCGATGAGAACTTTTCAACCACAAAAAAGTCGCAAAGTCAGATTCTCGCTCACCAGCTTCTTGTTCGAATTTTCATGTTCTACCTTAAATGGTGCAACAGTTAGCTACACAGTTAGCTACATTCTGGCACCTTAGGCACCATTTAAGGTGGAACGGGAAAATTCAAACAAGAAGCTGGCGAATGACAAGCTGACTTCAGCTTCATAAAAACCTAAATGTTAAGAGACATTTTACAAAAACTGTTCTACTTTTGTGGAAAAATTTCCTGTCTGAAATGTGAGAAAAGTGTCTATAGCTGAGCTAAAGCTTAAAGCAAAGCAAAGTAAGTTAGGTCTGCGTTTATATAACCCTGCGTATTATATTTTTAGCCTATACTATGACATTAGCACATACTGAGACATATTTACAGCCAAGATGGTGAAACATTATTTCAATAAAATGGACATGAAATCTTGTGGCTCCCAAGGTGGTTAAAATGGCTTAAAAGGTGTTGAAAATGGCTCTTCTTAACATAGGGGTTGCTGACCCCTGGCCTACATTTTGAAGCATTACAATGTTTGTGCAAAACACTGGATGGAAACAGTTAATGACTGCTTGACTTTCAGTGACGAATAGTGAGCTAGTAGCACGTTCATTCCTTGGACATGGATTTAACTGAAAGTAGTATGTTTGCGTCTTTGGGAATACTTACTGTTCTATGCTGGGTGATAAGAAGAGTTTGGGAAAGACCTGCGTAGCCTCAGCATCTTCAAAACTAACAGAAAGGAGTGCCACATCTTCTCCTGGGTCCAGAGCCGTATCCTGAGAAACGAAACGAAAACAAAAATATCAACGAAATGGTATAACTTTATAAAGCCTACCAAACCAAAATGTGTGCACAAATCATAAAACATACGCAAATACACAGTGGAGCAACTGACTGAGTACAAGAGCTTGTGTTGAGCAGGCTTTTCATCTGGAGGTGGTGTTAGGATTCAGGCTGGAAAAGACTACCTCCATCATTCACGCTGCATTAGCTGAAACTACAGCCACAGCCATGTCTGCCAGTCTCTATCTAATCGTGTGAGAGGGTTCTGCAGAGGCTGCAGGACAATCCCAGTCTGTTCTAGGGTTCTGGTTGATGCGTTCATTCTCAGTTTTCCTAGAGCTAGACCCTGCTGGATTGTCATTAGCACCGAGGCTGAGACGCAGGGCTCTAATCAAATGTCTTTCAGTTGGTTTGAACCTATCCATTTGTGATAATTGCTGCCCGCCGTGCAATCTTTGCCCCCATTAAGAAGGACTGCGTGTGGTGGATGTGTGACGTTACCAGTTAGTGGGGACACATACAAGATGACTGCTAACACATAACCCAAAGAGGCATATTGGGGTCTGGCTGGGAAGACTCAAACTGGCTCTAGATGCATGAATAACACGCAGGCTTGACACAGACTCAAAAGGCACCCTGAATTATAATATATCGAAATCATGGCATCATTTATAATTAAACTGTATTGCTTGTATTTAGCTGCCGCTAATCCAATTATCACCGCCAGTGGATCTCATTCAAGGCATTTGCTCTAAAATATAAGGAGATGATCCAGTTAGCGAGAGACGACCTATAACCATTTCAGGCTGAATCAAAATAGCAAATACGGTTAAGACAAAATGCTAATAATAATAATCATCAGCTAAAAATGCTGACAATAAATATGGACAGTTTTTGCACTTGTTCCTCCCACTTTTAGAATGGTATTACCGAAAACAAGCATGTTCTCTCTGAAAAAGGGATTCTCTCTGGGTTGGTCTCATGTGCAATAAGTATTTAAGTGTTTATCAGTGGTATGGCATTTTCCTAAGTTAGGTTAACTAACTTAAGGTAACACAGTTGCCCCCATAAGATTTTGGAATGTTTCTGTAAGAATTTGTGGCCATTCAGTGAAAAAGAGCATTTGTGAGATCAGGCACGGATGTCGGACGAGAGGGCCTGGCTCACAACTGATGTTCCAATTCATCCTGAAGTGTTTAGTGGGGTTGAGGTCAGGGAACTGTGCAGAAATGGAGGTCCTCCTCACTAAATAGGTCAGACCATGTCTTTTTGGACCTTGCTTTGTGCACAGGAGCAAAGTTATGCTGAAACAGGACATGACCTTCCCCAAACTGTTGCAATGAAGTTGGAAAGCATATAACTGTCTAAAATGTTTTTGTATGGTGTAGCATTAACATTACTCTTTACTGGAACCAAGGGGCCCAAACCCTGAAAAACAGCCCTAGACCATTATCCCACCTCCACCAAACTTTACTGCTGGCAGCACTATGCACTAGTGCAGCACTACAGCACTATGCACAGGTGGCGTTCTCCTGGCATCCGCTAAACTCAAATTCTTTTATCAGAATGCAAGACAGTGAAGTGTGATTCATCACTCCAGAGCCCAGTGGTGACATGCTTTAGACCACTCCAGTTGATGCTTAGCTTTGTGCATAGTGATCTTGTGCTTGTGTGCAGCTGGCCATAGAAACCCTCTCATGAAGCTTCCGCTCTTTGGTGATGTTGCTTCCAGTTGCAGTTTGACCCTCTGTAGTTAGTGATGCTACAGAGGATAGGCGATTTTTACGTGCTACATGCTTCAGCACTCAGTGGCCCCACTCTGCAAGTTTGCATGATCTACCGCTTTGTGGGTGAGCTGTTGTTGCTCCTAGACACTTCCATTTCACAATAATAGCACTTACAGTTGATTGGGGCAGATCTAGCAGGACAGAAATTTGCGTTGTGGCAGAGGTGGCATCCTATGAAAGTGCCACATTTAAACTCACTGAACTCTTCAGTACATTCTACTGCCAATGTTTGTCCATGACGATTTCATGGCTATGTGCTTGATCTTATATACCTGTTAGCAGTGGTTGTGCATGACATAGCTTGCCAAGTCAGGCACTTGATGAACAAAAGTGAGCATTTTCTCTGGCCCTAGTTTATGTTTTAAGCTGTCACACCATTAGCATTATGTCACTGTGACATACTGTAAGCCATATTGTAATATAATGTGCTATGTTGTTATAATGTGCTATGTCATTTAATCCAAAAAAGTGTCATGACACAACACAATGTCAGAAAAATCAATGTCATGTGACATACATGTTATGTCAAGTTAACACTAAATTTGATTAGAGCAGCCTTTATGACAGACAAAGCCTACTGGAAAAAGCCCTATAAATATTCAATGTACATTTAAGTCAACTGTCATGACATACTTATGTAGGTGTCATTTACCCTTAGCCTACTTAACACTGCCCTACGGTAAAGCGTTACTAAACAAAGATACCACACAAGACTAGGGAGCATAACACAGCTTTAACACACCAACTAATCTGCAAATGTTGTCACTTTCATATTGGGCAAAAAGCTTCAAACTGGGTAGAATTAGGTCAGAGCAGGACCCTTGAGAGGACGCCCAGCTGGGAGAGGCCAAGATCTGACACTCGGGATAAAGACTGCTTACACTGTTTCTAAATGGTCATGAGTAAACTTAACAACTAATCCAGGTTTGGAGCATAGCTTTGGAGGTACTGCACTTTCAAATTTCAAATAAAAAATAGAGAAAACTCAAGTAGTGGTGAATGCAACCTGTCTTTCTCTGCTTGCCTTTTGAAATATACGTTGAATGAATGGAAAGAATGGAAACAGTAGAGAAATGCAGCTAGCAAAAGCTGTTAACAGCAGATCACAGCAGAATGACTCAGACTGTCAGAGGAAATAAATGAAATCACATTTCTTTGAAAATTCAAGGCAGCAGTAATTTATAGCACAAAAGAAACTTCAATGTACACATCTTACAAGAAAGGTTCCCAGAAAATGCATTTAATATAGTGTTAGCTGTTTTGTATGAATCCAAAACATAGTGCTGCTCAACCTGCAATGCACCAGCAGAGTCATGTGCATCATAAAACATGCTGAAACTCTGCTGCAATCCTCCACCTACAGCTTTGTGTTACCACAACGTGATGCCTTTGAAATGCACTTCTACTAGTTAAAACAGGAGCTTGCTGACTAAGCATTCTGAATTCTCTCCATAACTGCTCTGAAAATTACTGAACCATATGTAGAGTGTGGTTGAGAACATGTTCCTTCCTTAGTGCAGACACTTCCTTTCCACATGCTGTGCTTTTCAGGTATGCAAAGTACAGCACAGATAGCATGAGTAGAAGTGAGGCACTCATATTTTAAATATAAAGCCGACTATATGAATTGTCCAAAAGTCTGTAGACACCTGTATGCTGTGAGGATTTGACTACATTCAGCCACAAGAGGATTAGTGAGGTCAGGTTCTGATGTTGGATGATTAGTTCTGGATCATATACACCCCTCAAACCCACTCAGCTCAAAGGTACTGTAGTTCAAAACGCAGTTGCTGAAATTAGTGAAAAAATGCTGAAATTAGTAGAGGTATTATGTGGATGTGTGCCTTGGCTGGGGGTCAGCACACATCCACCTTATGATGATGAAAATAAATGTACAGTTCGGTGTACAGGATTCTAAGGCCTCAGTTGCAAAGGTTCAATTTGACAAGGCTTGGAGGCAAAATCTGTAAACACAGTTGAAAGTAACATAAACGAAATGTCAAGCACAAGCCTCATCATTTGTCTCTTCCTGCTCCTCATCCTAGACTCATAAGACAGAGAGCTGCACAAGGGGAGGGGGCATCTGCAGCCCAAGGTGTTGTTTGATTGAATTAGTTCGCCTCAGTGCAGCAGTGTGCTGCGTCTTGACTTTAAAAGCTGGAACACAACTGGAATGAGGAAAAGGAGGTGGTCCTTAAAATCTTTGCTTGTTACACTTCAGCAGTGGGTGATAACAGAGATGTGAGTAAATTATAGGTTAAGCCCTATTATTTCTTCATAACTCATCGAAACATGCAGAGAAATTGTGCCAAAAGTATGGGTTCGAAACTTTTTAGCAACACCACATTAGTGCAAGTAGAACAGGACATTATTTATTATGATTTATTATGATTTGCTAACAAAAGGTAGTTTTTCAAAAAATGGAAAAACCATCCACATTGTTGCAACTAAACACAACAACGTGCAAAGTGAAGACTTAAACCTGTCAATACAGAACGCAAATTCAATGTAAATGTGATTTACTACCTCACTACCTACGCAATTAATTCTCTAATGACTTTTAAGTAGTAAAGCAAAATTTCAGTAATAACAAAATTGTTCTAAAGGTCGAAGTGATGATCAAAGCAAAAAAGAGAGTCCTGGGCTTTTATAAGCAAAGGCTTGAGAGAAGCAGTATTAGTGAAGCCTTTAAAATGGAACAGATTTAGAAAAGGCTGCAGCAACAGTAGAGTGCAATGCAAATACGACAAAATGCAGATTATCAGATAACCTTATTTCTGTTCCATAGCCAGAGTTGGGTAGTAGGGGAATATATGTAACAGTGTTATGTAATCAGGATGCAGGAGAAAGAATATGTAACATTTCTGTTACAGGTGCAAAATAATCAGATTACAGACACAATATTTAAAAAAGCATGATAAACAGCAGGATTACTTCTAATCACTCTTATTAAGGCCGGTACAGACTTTGTGACAACAGCGATCTTATGTAAGTTTATTACATTGAACGGGAAGCTGCAAATAAAGTCTTTGGCCAAATTCTACGAAAGACTCTGCACATTCAGCTAAGTCGCAAGTCAAATGTTGCAGGATTTCACTGCAAGCTAAAGGCTCTAAAATATTACATTAATTGTTCAATGATTTTAACTCACGATCAAAGAATTCTTTCACAATTTGCATTTTGTGTCTGCAACAGCGTCATCACAA